AGTCTTAGTAGATTAGTCAAAAATAATTTTACAGATGACTGATTGACACCCCATTGGCAAAGTAATTGCGGCCAGAGCTCTGGTATGTGAATAGAAACATTAATTTAATTGACTCATCCATCAGTTCTGCAAGAGACTCCCCGCAGGCATTTCGATTAGAACAAAAAGAATGTATAAATATTAGAACAAAATATTTTCTGAAGCGAGTCCCGGGGCAGCGCGAGGGGAATCGAGTCCCGGGGCAGCGCGAGGGGAAGCGAGTCCTGGAGCAGCGCATTTTACCTTAGTGGAGCTGAGTGCCAGTGCAGAGCAGACTAAAGGCTTGGAGCGGAGCAAGACTGTTGTTGGACAGTAGTCTTGTGCTGGTGGTCAGACCACGTGCTGACCTGCTGCTATCGGAAATTCTTCACTGGACTGTAATGTCAACCCTTTCACTATGTTAAAACTGTCTTACTTCTAACTTATTTTTGAATACTCTAAGTAAAGCTAGGACTTTTCCTTTTATTCCTCTGTTGTAACCAAGAATTGTACCCAGGTACCTGTACCTAAGATGGTGCCATTAGAGACAGCCATTGTAAAAACATTTCACTGTACCCCTGCACAGGAGTACATGTGACAGGAAAGGATATTAAATTCTTTTGGCAGTCTGTGAATGTCGTGAAGGTGCTGTAATTTCAGTAGGTATTAGGTTAATCCGCTTTGAATACTTAGGGTTAGTAATCAGTCATATAAAGTCATGTGATTTTTGCTAACTTAGAGACTTTTAACCTCTCTGACACTATTGTTGTTTAAGTTGAAATATGCCATTCCTTTACAAGTGAATTTTTTGGGGATATTTTATGATTGTCATTTTTATAACTACATTTCTTTCTGTTCACTTGATTGCTCTGTATCTTCATTAATTTATATTTCTTTCCCATTACTTTGCTCTCTGTATCTGATTTGACATTGAATTTGCCCCTGTAATTCACTCTCCTCAATTCTCCTGAGGTTTTCTTTCCAATCCTTAAATCTAATTGGTGAATCAGATATCCTGTTGATTGCATTGTTCACTTATTGCTATCAACTCACACTTTCAGCAGCTTTGTAGGCAAACTTCTTTAGAAATGTTAAGCGCAGGGTTAATTCTAACTGTCAGCAGACACTATTAAATGGATAGTCCTGATGATGGATGTAGACCTGAAATGTCAACTTTCCTGCTTCTCTGATGCTTCCTGACCTGCTGTGTTGCTCCAGCCCCACACTGTATTGACACTATTAAATGTCTTGCTATGGTAAAACCATGCCCAGAATGCTGAGAGACATGATATCGAATGTAACATTAAACATTCTGTTTTTCTGTTGTAAAACTTTTCTGACTAGCTTAGTACTGATGCAAGGAAACTTGTGTCTGTGTGTACTCACTGCCCTTTTTAAGAAGAAACGCTGTCTTTAGAATGGAATATTACAAAGGCACTAATTGACAAACAAAATACTCTGGGTGCTGGAAATCTGAAAGAAAAATAAATGTTCCGGAAATACTCAAGTCAAACTTTACAGGACTGCAATTCTGCGAAGCAAGTATGTGAAGTAGGGAGGAACAGTCACATTAACGCTGACCTTGAACTATAGGTGATGGACCAGGATTAGACACCAAGCAAGTGGTGGATTTCGCTCCTCATATTGCTTTCTTCTGATGCCTGTGACTCTGTGACTCATCTGCAAATGTCATGCTGCATCCCTCACCAGATTTGCTGCTGCTTTCATCGTCTCCAAATCATCCCCATCACCTCAACATCTGCCCAGGAACCCACAGCTCATGCCACTAAAGCAATTTGTTACCACCCCTTCCGTGGCTCATTCCTCCTTCATGGCATGTCGTGGCACACCATCTCCAACCCAAGAGAAACAGAAGGCTAAAGAGACAAGCAGAAAAGATAATCAAAAGGCTAAAAGAGGAAGCAACAGGAGAAATAGAAGAGTCAAGAAGCAAATAAGGGAGCAGAAGGTGGAGATAGGGAGAGAGAAGCCACAACACAATTACAAGTTGGAGAGTGTATCTGCAAACTGACTGAAATAAGTAATATCTGAAAAGAATACAGAAGGAAAAGAAGGCAGAACAGCTTGTGATCCATATTGTATCCACTATCCATATCATTTCTAGGCTGTGGCACCTTTGATAATATGCTTCTGCAGCTTCTCTTTTACTTTTTTCATTCTACCCTTCTATCTTGTTCTTTTTATGCTCCTTTACAGTTTCAGTTGGCTTTCAATGTACTTGGATTTTTTATTGGCACTAGACAACAACTTTATGCAGCTTTCCAAGTTCTTCTGCCATACCAGTCAGTTCTTCATGTCCCTCAAATCCTTCTCTTTTTCTCTCTTAAAACACATCATTGTCTATGAAACCTACTAATTTTAACATCTAACCTTATTCTACACATTGTGATCTTCTATGTAAAGCTCCTCACTTGATTTTCTTTCCTTATTCATAGTTTGCTCATTTTAGATATATATCCACGAACGCTTGAATCTTAGCCTCAAAATGTATAATTTGCATTTCTCAGCTATGTCAATCCCTTTTATAATCTGAAGAATTTCTTATATCACCAAAATTTGTCACCTGAATTTGCTTCAAAACCAGGTGAGTTCTGTATTTGAGGTGTTTCCTGGATAGCACTGCGAAAGATATAAATACTTCAAAGCAATTTTTTTATCAAAAGTCAATAAGTTTAATATCAAAGGTGGATTTTAACTGTCCCTTTAGATGGAAATTCTGACCATTAAGTTACCATTTGTTTAAAACAGTATTTTTCTACAGTTATTTTTGTGCTTCTAATTAATCTTGCAAAATTAAATTAAATGTTCATGCAATTTTTGAAAAACGGTTATTGCAATCTATATGGTCTGTCCTGTGTAATTTGAGTACTATCCTAAAAGCACACTTCAAGCTCCATTTAGATTACAGATTGAACTCCACTCATTTGGCAAGCAGGTTAGCAGTCAACTTGAGTTGATAGAAGCAGAAATTTGAATTTAACTATGAGAGCGTAGATTCGTGTCAGAACAACAGCTATGTTGGTCAGACATATTGCGCACAACGGTACATCATAAATGTCTGTGTATAAGGCAATCTTTGAATCCTCAAAGCAGTTCTTCCCAGTTGAGTATAGAAGTGTACACCAGTATGTGTGTGGATGGTCACCATTTTGAAAAATCATCAACATCTGATGCAAAGAAAAGAATTATAGGAATAGGAGTAGGCCATTCAGCCCCTCAAGCCTGTTCTGCCATTCAGTGAGATCATGGCTGATCTGGGCCTAACTCCATGTACCTGCCTTCGGCCCATGACCTTTAATACATCTGCTTAACAAAAATTTATCTACCTCAGATTTAAACTTAAAAATTGATCCAGCATTCGCTGCTGTTTGTGGAAGAGAGTTCCAAACCGCCAGCACCTTTTGTATGTAGAAGTGCTTCCTACCATCTCTCCTAAATGGTCTGACCCTAATTCTCAGACTGTGCCCCTAGGTCCAGAATCACCAACCAGTGGAAATAGTTTATCATTATCTACCCTGTCTTTTCCTGTTAAAATCGTGAAGACTTTGATTATATCGTCCCTTAACTTTCTGAATTCTAGACAAAACCTGCCTAATTTGTATAATCTCTCCTCATAACATAACCCCTGAAGTCCAGGCACCGTCCAAGACCAATATATGTCTCCTACGGTGTGATGCCCAGATCTGCTCACAGTACTCCCGTTGAGGTCTAACCAGGGTTGTCTATAACTGCAGCATAATTTCTGCATCCTTGTTCTCCAGTCCTATAGATATAACGGCCAACAGTCCATTAGCTTTCTTGACTATTTTCTGCATTTATCTGTGACATTTTAAAGATCCATGTATCTGAATCCCCATGTCTCTTTGGACATCCACAGTGTTTAAATTGATACCATCTAGAAAATACCCTGATCTATTGTTTTCGGTCCAAAATGGATAGCCACATATTTGTTCACATTGACCTCTGTCTGCCACTATTTTCCCATTCTGTTAGTCTATCCATATCTCTTTGTAATTTTATGCGATCTACAAAACCATTTAACTTTGTGTCACAATAAGTGTCTTGAACTCTCACACATCCTCACAATACAGCCCATATCACCTGTTTGACTCCTTGAACCCAGTGAAAAGGTACTGGTAAGTAAAACATGTATTTGTGGTGTGAAAACGGAGGATGACTCCTAATGCAAGCAGAACTTAGTGAGTGAAAAGGAGTATTGACTTACACCTGAGTGTGCAAAAAGTGATGTTTGGAACTAGAAAAATGGGAGTGCCTTTCATACTGCATCAACTTATGCACCAGTTTATTTTAGTACTGGAATGGCCTTTTTGTGTTTCTGAAAGAGTGTAGTTCTAATGTTAGAATCTTAATAATTAGGTCAGTTCTTGTTCATTTTTTGCTGCATTTATTTCAGTAACTTACCATTTTAGAAGCCTTTGTCTTCCTTAATTATTAAAAGTTCTGAAAATTAATTCATGCTGCTTTAAATGTCCAAAACAGGGCAAGGGTACTTTAGATCCACTTCTGAAAACCGGCTCTCTTCATCTGCAATAACAAGGTGTAGAGCTGGATGAACACAGCAGGCCAAGCAGCATCAGAGGAGCAGGAAGGCTGACCTTTCCGGCTTAGACCCTTGAAGAAGGGTCTAGGCCCGAAACGTCAGCCTTCCTGCTCCTCTGATGCTGCTTGGCCTGCTGTGTTCATCCAGCTCTACACCTTGTTATCTCAGATTCTCCAGCATCTGCAGTTCCTACTGTCTCTTCATCTGCAGTTGGCCAATGGCTGACCAGTACCTATAAACTTTGTTTCCATGTTTTGTTGTTAGGCCCAAGTGTTGTAGAGTTGTTGGGTTGAAATTATCGCACTGCTATTGCAAATTTCTCTACATTAGAAAAATTGAAACATGATGAAATGAACAGCATTTGTTGGCTCTAACTTATGAAATTTACGTGTATTGGCAGGTCAAAGGTCAGTAATTGTTTACTGCACACAGATCCTCAAAGCCTCAATTCAGTGATGTTGTCATCCAAGTTGCCAGGCATGATCTACACAGCAGATGAACAATGTCAGATTCTCTTTGGCCCTTCAGCTTCTTTCTGCAAAGAGATGCAGGTAATGTTTTGGCATGTTGCACATGTACAACGTTATGTCAATGTCTAATCTTCTGTGTGCCATCCATTGTCTTATATAGAATGTAGAGCCAGCATTGGTTGAATCAGTGAGTTAGATAAAGTTATATAGTGTCTAAAACCATTACACTTATTGGCTGCACTTTATTGGAGGATGTTAAAAATAATGGCACATAGGCAGCAGAAGCAGTTCAGTGTGAACAAATGTGAAACCCATTTTGGGAAAAGAACAATAAATGAAAATGTATTCTAAATAGGAAGATTCTTAACAGAGGAAAATATAGCAAGACTGATCAGTGTAGGCTATGGGTTAATTTTATTTCTTAAGGGTGGAAATTAGGTTGCTGGGGGCTACAACGTCTGCACCTCCATTCAATCCCATGGGGTTTGAGGCTACATTAGCGACTCACAATGGTATAGGAACAGGTTGATAGCAACTCATATCTGGGAAAATGGTATAGAGGCAGTTTGATGAGAAAATCAGGAGAGGTAAGACTGTCACCAGGGTCTAATGGAATGGTATTTATGAAGGTAAGGGAGAAAAAGGCACTCATGAACAATTGCTGTCACAGTATCCTTTGGGGTCACAAGATTTCCACAAAGGTAATACTTTTCAACTTGTCTCTGTCTCTTCTGTGGATTGTTGCTATGGCTTAGTCTCAATGCAAAGAGATGTTGGCCTTCCACCAAAATTAAACAAATTCAAATGGCAATATCTGAAATATGACTGATGAAACATCTACCTTCTACACGTAGAAAGAACTTGTATTTACAAAGTATTCCATTATAATTCATGTCTTTTTGAATACACCTTTGCAAAATAAAATGGTGTAGTGTAAGAAAATATGAAAGCTAAATTGTGAACAACAAACATTTCCAAGAAGAACAAAATAAAAGACAAAATATACTGTTGTGATTGATGGATTATTTGTCCAAGAAACTGGAAAAATCCCCCACTCTTCTTCAAAATGTCCTATGAAATATTTTATATCTACATAAGAGGGCAGGCTAAGCCTCAGTTTAACATCTGAACAGAGCAGCAGGAATTCTGACAGTGCAAAACAAGTCCGGGTTGTTAATCAAATTTGATTTTATGTAGGTGGTAGGCTTTAACTGAAGAGTAAATTGAGCCATGTATGGGAACAAAATGAAACTGGTTGTTGAATTGGGAGGTGTATGCCGATAATGTGTATCTTTGCAATGTTTTTAAAATGTTTCCAGATTATTTTTAGTTCTATCCTTCACTCCCTGGCTCTATGAATGAAACACTGGTGTGGTGCTTGAACCAATGACTTTCTGATACAGGAAGCAACAGTACCAATAATACAGATGATATGCTGTCAGCTGTTTTAGGTTTCATGATTAATGAGCACAGTAATGATGAAAACATCAAATCACTTGCTAGCTGTTTTGATATTTTTGGAGATCTGGCTATACTCAGACAATGACCCTACTGCCTTAGAGTCAGGTAGTTACATGATCAAGTTCCATGCCAGTATTAGAGGCCATGATGTGGAGGTGCCGGTGTTGGACTGGGGTGGACAAGGTCAGAAATCACGGCTCTCTGCTCCTATGATGCTGCTTGGCCTGCTGTGTTCATCCAGCCCTGCACCTTGTTGTCTCAGAAATCACGGCACCAGGTTAAAGTCCAACAGGTTTATTTGAAAACACAAGCTTTCGGAGTCTCAGTCCTTCTTTAGGTGTCAGTGAGAGAGGTAGTATCAAACACAGAATTTATAAGTAAAAGATCAAAGGGTCACACCATTGATGAGGATGTACTAAACAAACCTAAGATGCTGTTAAATCTTTAATAAGTTAGATGGTTTTGATTGATTAAAATGTTTATGTAAATCCCCAAATTGCTTTGAAGTCTCTGTCCTGAGAGAACTAAAGTTTTTATCAGTGTAAAGAAGAGGTGACATTATAGGTCAGACAATGCATGTTAGGTGTGAAGCCTTGTTTAAACTCTGTTTGTGTTTTAGTTTGGAGTCAGACTGGTTTTATTTCTAAAGTAGGAATTTCTAAAACACCACATTGACTGTGTACTTTTTGAACAAAATAAAATGCAAATACAAAGTTACCCCATGTGTGTGTGTGTCTGTGTGTGTGTGTGTGTATGAAAACCTTTAGTTTTCTCAAGACCATGATCTCTCTCACTAACACGTGAAGAAGGACTGAGGCTCTGAAAGCTTGTGTTTTTGAACAAAACTGTTGGACTATAACCTGGTATCGTGTATAAGTTGCCACAGAAGAACCTTGTTGCTTGTGCAGGCAAACCCAGTATTTGACCCCCGCAATGTTAAAGGCAGGCATCCAGCAGTGAAGCTGCTAACTGCATTGAAAAATGATGTTTAACGTGAATGGAGGTGAAGAAAAATGATCAACCAGCAATCTGGTGACCTCATCTAACATGGGAAAGTTTAGGAAACAAGGAACGAAAAAGGATCTAGAGGGATACAATTTATCCAGGAAGGAGCTGAAGAAAGGGCTTAGGAGAGCTATAAGGGGGCATGAGAAAACCTTGGAAGATAGGATCAAGGAAAACTCCAAGCCTTTTTACACGTACGTGAGGAATAAGAGAATGACCAGAGAAAAGGTAGGGCCGATCAAGGATTGTAAAGGGAATTTGTGCACAGAGCCTAAAGAAATAGGAGAGGTCCTTAATGAATACTTTTCTTCGGTATTCACAACTGAGAGGGACCTAGTTGTAGAGGAGGACAGTGTGAAACATGCTGGTAGGCTAGAGGAGGTTGCTGTTAATAAGGATGATGTGCTAGGAATTTTGAGGAAGTCGAAGATAGATAAGTCCACCGGACCTCATGGGATTTATCCAAGGATTCTATGGGAAGTGAGGGAAGGGATCACAGGGCCTTTGGCAATGATCTTTTTGTCTCACTGTCCACGGGTATAGTGCCGGTAGATTGGAGAGAGGCAAACGTCATTCCCTTGTTCAAAAAAGGGAATAAGGATAACCCCGGAAATTACAGGCCAGTTAGTCTTACGTCAGTGGTGAGCAAATTGTTGGAAAGGGCTCTGAGAGATAGGATTTATGATCACTTGGAAAGGCACAGTTTGATTCGTGATAGTTGGCATGGATTTGTGAGGGGTAGATCATGCCTCACAAACTTTATTGAATTCTTTGAAGAGGTGACCAAACACATGGATGAATGTACAGCAGCGGATGTGGTATACATGGATTTAAGTAAGGCGTTTGATAAGGTTCCCCATGGTAGGCTCATGCAGAAGGTAAGGAGGCATGGGATAGGGGGAAATGTGGAAGATTGGATTCAGAATTGGCTGACCCTTAGAAGACAAAGAGTGGTAGTGGACGGAAAATATTCAACATTGTGCTCAGTTACGAGTGGTGTACCACAAGGATCTGTTCTGGATCCTCTTCTATTTGTGATTTTTGTAAATGATTTGGATGAAGGAGTGGAAGGGTGGATTAGTAAGTTCGCGGATGATACGAAGGTGGGTCGCATTGTGGACAGTGCGGAGGGCTGTTCTAGGTTACAAAGGGACATTGATAGGATGCAGAGCTGGTCTGAGAAGTGGCAGATGGAGTTTAACCCTGAAAAGTGTGAGGTGATTCATTTTGGAAGGACAAACTTGAAAGCAGAATACAGGGTCAACGGAAAGATTGTCGGCAGTGTGGAGGAGCAGAGGGATCTTGGGGTTCATGTCCACAGTTCCCTGAAAGCTGCCACCCAGGTGGATAGAGTTGTTGAGAAGGCGTATGGTGTGTTAGCTTTCATTAATAGAGGGATTGAGTTCAAGAACCGTGAAGTTATGCTCCAGCTATACAAAAGCCTAGTTCGACCACATCTGGAGTATTGTGTCCAGTTCTGGTTGCCTCATTACAGGAAAGATGTGGAAGCATTGGAAAAGGTGCAGAGGAGATTTACCAGGATGTTGCCTGGAATGGAGGGAAGGTCTTACGAGGAAAGGTTGAGAGAGCTAGGGCTTTTCTCTTTAGAACGACAAAGGATGAGAGGTGACTTGTTAGAGGTGTACAAAATGATCAGAGGTATGGATAGAGTAGACAGCTAGAGACTTATTCCTCGGGTGGAGATAGCTATTACGAGGGGGCATAGTTTTAAAGTGAGTGGAGATAGATATAGGGGAGACGTCAGAGGTAGGTTCTTTACTCGGAGTGGTAGGGGCGTGGAATGCATTGCCGGAGAGGGTAGTGGAGTCGGCCTCATCAGGGGCATTTAAGCAGCTATTAGATAGGCATATGGATGATAGCATAAGGTAGAGGTGGAGGTTAGATAGACCTTAGGATTAGGGCAAAAGTTTGGCACAATATCGTGGGCCGACGGGCCTGTACTGTGCTGTACTGTTCTATGCTCTATGTTCAATGGGAGAAACCAACAGGGAGCAACACTGATCTTTTGTAATTTGTATGAAAATGGTTAAAATTTGTTTGTAAGGAAATGTAACCGTTACTACAACAAAACTTTTTTTTACAAAATAAATCATTGATTTATTTGTAATTTTCAGAATTTCAGTATGCTAAGCTGAAGAACTTATCAAAGCATTTTGCTGTGTGTATATGTGTCTGTATTTAAGCAAAACAAACTTTATAATAAGTGAGATAATATTCAATCAGTTATTTAAATATAACAGAGATGTACTTTGGATGAACTTACACTTTTTTTTTAAAAATTGTGAGGTAGCTGAGGAGATTGGTGAGGCATTGGTGGTGATCTTACAGGAATCACTGGAGTCAGGGACGGTCCCAGATCACTGGAAAATAGTTAATGTAACACCTCTGTGTCGGAAGGGAGGCAGAAGACAGGAACTTATAGACCAGTTGGCCTGACCTTGGTCATTGGGAAGACTTTAGAGTCCATTATTAAGAATGAAATTGGAGAGTAGTTGGAAGTGCATGTAAAATAGGACTGAGTCAGCATGGCTTTGTCAAGGGGAGGTCATGCCTGACAAATCTGTTAGAATTCTTTAAGGAGGCAACGAACAAGT